AAGCAGTGCCCATGCTTGACGAGGGAATTTGACATATGTCAATCCTAAATGATGATATCTCCTCATAAAGGAAATCGGCTGTGTATTCTGGCGCAAGTTCGACCCAAATGGAGACTTAATCAGAGCAAATCAATCCTTCATCTGGGACTTAGTTACACAACTTATGTTAGAATCCAGGACAACGAGAGTATAGGCTCATAAACTATAACAGATATTTTTTTCTTATTTTCTATACGTACATGTGTAGGAATACTGTTAGACTAGTTTTATAGGGAAAGAATGGAGTACAACTACGGTCTAATTTAAACAAATGAGGATATTATCTTAGAGAGAGATAACCATCGGCAAGGAGATTAACCGAGTAGTGCTTAAATACCCTCATGGTAAAGGCTGAAGTTGAACAGTGATCGCTTTCCTCCGATGTAGAGACGAAAGACTTAAAGAGTCGATCACAGACACACATACATTTTTTACCTGTCACCTCAGATTTGCTCTTTGCTACATCACTGCCGATTGAGCAATCAGGCAATTTCCAACCATTTGGCCAGAAGAGTAGTCAGAGCGACATTCGAGGTCACATTTTCCATCAAATATAAACACCATTCCAGTCTCATGGACATCCGGGTCGGCAAATCTTTGTTATATAGTACATAGAAATCTTTAAGGAGGTTCAGAGAATGTATTAAATCCAGCAGGAATCTTTGCCTAATTCATGACACAGCAACACCCTTCTTATATATTTGGCGCAAACATCTGAAACCAATAAAGTATTTAAAATGATCTTTGCTAAGTACAGTTTGGGAACACATTCTCCTTCGAGAACAGAAGCTGACTACGACAGAGGGGAATAAAAGAACCGATATAAAAGCTGCATTTAGCTTATTTCGCTTAAGGTGTCGAAGGAATTTCAAATTTTCTCACGATCCTATGAGCAATCCTCCTGTTTCTAATGAATTTCACACAACTTCTCTTTCTTAGTGGTATTTTTATCCTGGATCGACTGCAGCTTCGACCTCAACTAGACTGATCTCCTCGGCTCCCCCAGCGTGATTCGAACCCGAATTGTCGTAGTGCAGTATTTAGTCTCGACACGTTAGCTAGTACGGCGCATTGTCTCGAGTGCCCTTGGTAAGAATGTGGACGTAACAAGGTTGGGTCTGCTATAGCAATCGACTACATTACGTATTTTTTGCTTCATAAGTAGGTTTTTGAGACTATCACTAAATCTGATATAACATCGCTATTCATGCCATTTTGATAAAATCTGGAAAGCCTACTTATAAACGGAAATTAAGTAATGCAGTCGGTTGCTGTAGAAAATACAACTTTGCTTCGTCAATAATCCCACCGCAGCATTGTGCTATTGGAAAAGCCTAGGCTTTCGTGAACTCCCCTTTTATTCTTGACCCAAGGGCACGACCACAATCTGCGTGGGATTCCTGCGGGGGTGCGGATGAAACATGGGCGAGGTCGAACTTTAGTCCACTCTGAATGTGAATACCTCTTGGAAAGCAAGGCTGTATAAAATTAAATGGAAGCATATGGGATTGTGGGACAATTTAACTATCAGTCGTTCGTCACCTTAAACGAAATAGGGTGAAAACAGCTTTTATCACAGATCTATTCGTAGTCTCGAAAGGCTACTTATAAACAGAATATAAAAGGACCGAGTTTCAAGTTCTGAAGGAACTAGAGATAATATCTGCAGTTGAAAAATTTTTTTTCCAGAAGACTTTCATATAAAAATGCAAGATGAAGAGATCAAATCTATTTCATCAGAAGACACGGTTGATTACTAGTTTTACTGCAGCCAATTGGCTTTCAGATTGACATAGTCCACGAGACATCTTCTTTCCTTTTGAGTGAAAATAGGTTATGCTCTCGTCCATTATACGAAGGACATCATCAGAGCTAGAACTCACTCTTGTAAAAGTCTCATGTTACCATTAGGTCAAGAAGACCTACATTAGACTTTTACAAGAATGAGTTCCAGATTTGATGCTGTCCTTGTCAACCCGTTTTCACCCGAAACGAGTGGGGATATTCTGTTTATAAGTAGGCTTTCGAGACTACGAGTAGATCTGAGATAAAAGCTGTTTTCATCCTATTTCGTTTAAGGTGACGAAGGACTAATAATTGAACAGCTCTAGTGCAACGGGAATCAGCTCTCGTCTTCTGCTCAGACCCACCTTCGAAGCTCTTCTTCAAGAACTTTCCTACAAAACGAAAGTCTACCCAACAATGCAATCTCAGTAGATTTATCTAGACCTAGCTACACTTTATATCTAGAATAAAATTTCGGTTATGCGATAGCACAAGACTCATTGTTGTGAGCTGAGTCGGTTTCGAAGGGTTCCGCGTAAAAATGATAGAAATCCTGAAGTAAAATAAATTCTAGATTTTTATGAACAATTTGACTGCTTCATGCGCTCAGAGCCAAAAGTCTGCTTATGCTTACCAATTTCGATATATTTATCTATACACTTCAATCTTGTTTTTATTTTTAAGCGGAATCCCTAGCAAGGCAACTAGAGGATAGAGATGTCTGACACAACATCGAAAATGTTTGCTCTTCTCTCGAAACATATGAAGGAATAGAAACAAGCTATGCAGCCCAGTGGACTATCTGCGTAATCAAAGCTAAAGCACTTGCCTCGCGCAGGTTGACCGTCAACAACAGCCACAAAAACAAACCATCAAATTAGAAAATACATGGAATGTGAGGAACGCAGGTAGAGAGTTGAGTAAGAATTACTTATGCTCGATTGATAGATTGAAAG